TGTGGAATAACAAGCCCTGAGTGCCTAGGCTATCGCATACTGTCAGTGTTTTAAAATAGCAAACTGAGTTACGTTTGTGGTTAAAAACAAAACAAATACCCCCAGATTCCTGTGGGTTTAAAAGTCTGCCCTTGACAGAGCAGGCCTTCCCTGTGGAAATCTGGAAGAAGTCCCATACCTCTCCCCATCCTGTGGTCCACGCCAAGCCCTGGGGGAACCTGCAGAGAGTGGCAGATGATAGTCTGGCCTGCCACGTCCTCGCCACTGCTGCCTCCTACTTGAACTGCTCAAAGGGGCCTTGTCCCGCGTCTGCCTCTTCCTCTTCTTCCTCTCCCCCTTCCTTCTTAGGCCACATGTCCCCCACTACCCCCAAGAAGTCTCCATCTTCTGAATGGCTCTGCCCACTGCTGGCACTCAGTGCTGAAGAATGTGCCAGCGCTGCTCCGATTAGCATCAGACTCGTGTAGTTAGGGTCCTCCTGTACCCCCCTGATTCCCTGGGATGGGATTTCTCTTCTGTATAAATGTCCCAACTTTCCCTTACCAGCTGCTTGCCTTTCCAAAAAAGACCATAATCCCTTACTGCTCCGATTAGCATCAGACTCGTGTAGTTAGGGTCCTCCTGTACCCCCCTGATTCCCTGGGATGGGATTTCTCTTCTTTATAAATGTCCCAACTTTCCCTTACCAGCTGCTTGCCTTTCCAAAAAAGACCATAATCCCTTCTAAAACCTTGGCTCACTCTCCCCCAGGAGAAGAAAGCAGTGCCCATCATTTTCGGGGACACTGAGGATCATAAGGGGATCCACTGAGAGGCCTGCCACTGGAGCTACGGGTCAGGAGGAAAAGGCAGATCGCCTGAGTGGTCAGGAAGGACACTTCTGAGAGGGCCAAGTTCCCTGATCCCTGCTGAGAGATGGGAGCAGCATCAACACCATTAGGAATCTGCACCGTGGCATCAGAGGCCACTCCACTCTCACCATGGTGGGGCCTTTTCAAGTTACTGACTTCTCTGTGCCTCACTTTCCTCCTTAGTTGGATGAGGGCAATAATGCACACCTTATAGGGTGTGAGGATTAAATCTCATTCTGTATGTAAACAGTTAGTGATGCTTGATGTTATGTAGCACATAACTTGGGAGTTAAAATATAACTGTTGAGAAGGGTGTGTCGGCCAGGCTGAGGGCTGGGGAGCCTTGGAAGGATTGGGGTACAGGCGGGACGTGGTCATGTTCAAGTTTCAGAAAGTTGCAGCCTGGAAAAAGTGTGCAGGAGCTGACACTGGAAAAAGTCTGTCTCTGGTGCAGCCTGGAAAAAGTGTGGGGAGGGGCAAGGAGGAGGTGGGGAGGAAGCTGACACCGTGGTCTAGGGCAGAGGGTGGTGGCTGGGCTGGGCAGTGGCAGAGGGGATGGCGAGAAGGGAATGGGTGCAGTGGAGAGACTCGGGAGCTGGAATCGGCAGGATTTTGTGGCCATTAGATGTAAGCTGGGAGTCGGGGGTGACTCTAATCCTGCTGGCCTATGTGACAGGATCGCTGAGTGAAGCAGTTTCTGCATGTTTGATCAGCCACTTCCCCCAAACCAGAACATGGCCCTCTGCTCAGAGGGACACTTATCAGCTCGCTCTGGCTCTTCCCATGTGGCTCTAAGTGTGTGAGACCTCAAGGGTGGGAAGCATGGCACAAAGAAGCCACACTCAGTAAATGTCTGTGGGGTGACACAATGTTTATCTGTCTTCCCACCCTTTAAGGGGACCCCTTACTCATCTCCTCCCCCAGGCCACAATCTAGGGGTAAAGCAACTGCCCTCCTGACTCAGTTGTCAGCATGACGACTGGTATCCGTCTGGCTGCAGGAGCCAAGTGTGGAACTGAAGTCAGGCCAATTTCAAAACCAAGATCTCAGAAGCCACAGTTTTAGAGAGCTGGCTATGCCAGCTTGGCCTGGTTTGGCCTGGCCCAGGCATTGCCCTGTAGTATGGTCCCGCCTACCCGGCTGAGAGTGGACTCTGCCCAGGTGCATGAAGACTGCCCTCCTCTGTCTTCTGTCAGACTTTCATTTAAAACATGTTTTGGCCTCTTTTGGCCATCACAGGACAGGGACAATTCCCATCTTGTCCACCATTGTACCCCAGTACCTAGAGCAGGTCTGGCATATAAGCAGCTGTGCAATGTGTGAGGAATCACCCAGCCTCCCTGAGCCTAAGCCGTCTCCTACGTGCAGCCTGCCTTGCAGGATGGAGTGACATCAGGTGGAATAACAAGCCCTGAGTGCCTAGGCTATCGCATGCTCTTGGTAGATGATAGAGCAGCAGCTGGCAGCACTGTGCCTGAGTGCCACACAGGCCAGGCAGCAGGTGCACTGAGGCTGGCAGGATGGCCACAGAGGCTGATGGTGCATGAGCACTTTGTCTAGAAGCCAGAGGAGACCAGAGGGAACATGACGGCCACTGGGAAGGGGCTTTTGGGTAGTGACCTGTGTCAGGACACAAAGGGTCTCACCCTCTGAACCTTACAATGTTGAGCAAGTCCTGTCTTGTCACACAGTCTTCCATGTGTAAAAATATCTGCATGCGCCTTACATGCCAGCTAGGGTCATGTGCGTGATAGAATGTTGCCTGCAAGAAACAGGCTGTAAAATTGCCTCTGTGCACTGTGATGTGCGTGCAGAGGACTATGAAGATGAGCGATGTGTTTGAGAGGAGGGAGGGTGCTTTCCTTTCTTAAAGAACATTTATGAAGGGCTTAGCATTGTCTGTCCTGCATTCATTATTCCCCTAACACCAGTCAGTGCATCTCATGCTGGAATTTACAAAAGACAACCAGCCTGATACTTGCCCCTGTGTAGATCCTCAGCAAATGGTCGCTGACCTTGGCTCTGACAGGCTCCGCCAGCCTCATAGCTGACTACTGGCCTGAAATCTTACCCTAAGAATCACCACAACCTGAAAATGTTGTGGAGCTAGAGAGAGGTGGTGGTTGCACTCACAGCACTGTGAATGCACTAAACGCCACTGAACTGTGCGCTTTAAAATGGTGCACTTAATGTAACTTGACTTTCACCTCAATTAAAAAAAAGAATCACCCCCCGCACTGAGCACCTACTCTGTGCCAGTGCTCTGCTGCCACCCGAGTGAATTATCGCACTCACAGTAGGAAGTGGGGGCAGCGTGGGGCAGACTTACTCTCCCTTGTACACCACTTTGGGACCTTTTACAGTTTGAACCATGAGAATGGTCACCGATTCAAAAGACAATATAAAGTCAGGAGGGAACATCTTATTTACAGAAGTAAAGCAAAATACTGTCTGTGTTGTCGTGTCAAGAGCAAGCACTGTAAGGCCAGGCCTGCCTGGGTTCCTGTCTCCACTCATCCATTTGGATGAGCCACAGTTTCTTCACCTGTCAAGGGACAGGAGTACTCCCAGCCTCACATGGCTACTATAAGAATCTAGTGGCTCACTGGCTGAGCGTGGTGCTGACAACACCAAGCCAAGGGTTGAGAATCTAGTGACAAATGGGATAATGTGCATAAGACAGTGCCACATGGAGCCTGGCCCACCTTGAGTGCCCAGAAAGCATCTGTTGTCTTCCCACCCGACACCCCTCCCTACCCTATTTGACTTTATCTGTCCAGGATCCCCACACCTTTATAACTATGGCTTCTTCTCCTCAGAAAAAGCAACAGATGGCTCCCTGCAGAGTGAGGACTGGGCCCTCAACATGGAGATCTGTGACATCATCAATGAGACCGAGGAAGGGTAAGGCCCTCAGAGGAGACAGGCGGGGTCAGCCATCCACAACCCAGCACACGCCAGCATTGACTCACGCCCTGCATCCTGCCGAGACCCTCTGCCCCAGTCCCACCACTGCTGTAGCACAGCGTCCAGCCTGCTTGGGGGGCCGGCAGGGGCTGCAGAGTTTGGCCTGAAACCACACTCAAGGCAGGACTGAGGCATTTTAAACACTTTAGAACCATGAGCCAAGCCCTGTCAACAAATGGATGAGAGGCCCAGAGACATAAAGTTCAAGGCCATGGCTGGGGTACAGCTGGTGCTGGCCCTTGGATGCTGCCGCTACACACTGCCTCTCTGAGCAGCAGCCCAGATTCCACACAGATCTGGAACCCCAGCCTTGTGTACAACATCTCCCTCAGATAGGGCGAGCTGGAAACTCCTACAGTTAGGAGTTGGCCCCAAGCGCTGTTGTGCATTCTATGGACTGGATTATGCATTAGACACTTCCAGCTTTGCCGTGTGAGCAAAGACTTTTAGTTCCTTAAGATTTGAAACCAGCAGGGAGGGTAGGGGATCACAAAGAGGGCAGTGAAAGTGAAGTGGAACTGAGAGGTTGACAGGGCCGGTCACCACTGATAGAGCTGGTGTTTGCCGGGCATCTCCAGTGTGTGTATGTGTTATAGCTGATCATAGCTGGTGTTTCTGGGCATCTGCAGGGTATGTGTGTGTTATGGCTGATCACAGCTGATGTTTGCCAGGCACTTCTGGTGTGTATGTGTTATCTGATCACAGCTGGTGGTTGCCGGGCACTTCCGGTGTGTGTGTGTGTTATCTGATCACAGCTGGTGTTTGCCGGGCACTTCCAGTGTATGTGTGTGTGGTTGCCGGGCACTTCCGGTGTGTGTGTGTGTGTTATCTGATCACAGCTGGTGTTTGCCGGGCACTTCCAGTGTATGTGTGTTATCTGATCACAGCTGGTGTTTGCCGGGCACTTCCAGTGTATGTGTGTTATCTGATCACAGCTGGTGTTTGCTGGACATTTCCAGTGTACAGGTCATGGTGTTCTCCTACTCAGTACCAAGGAGCCCTGCCAAGGCTCCTGTTGTGGGGAGGCGTTGGGTTCTTGGCTTCTGATCTCTGACTAGTTGTTGCTGACCAGCTGTGAGACATTGGGCAGATCTCTTTACCTCTCTAGATCTTTGTCCTCGGAGGCAAAGCTCTATCAGATCCTTCCAGCAATAAGCCCAAGTCCCTGGGGGAAGCAGAAAGGGGATGTGAGGGTCACTGTCATCTCAGGAAAACCCAGTGAAGGGTAGGGAGCATGTGGTGACCATGGCCAGCAGGAAGTATGGCCAGACAAGGCCTCTGATCTGATAAACCAGGATCAGCAGCTGGAGCATTTTCAGCTCCATTTTTCTTTGGGATAATCCAGTTATCCCTCAGCCAGTGCAGAGTGTGCCTCTCAGTCAGGTAGTGCTCTGTGTGGGAGAGGTGGGCTGGAAGCAGGCAGGGGGCAGGGAACACCCAGCTCAGTGCTGTGGCATCTGAGTCCCACTGAGTCCAGGCCCAGTCAGGAGAGGGCAGTGATTGCTGGCACCTTCCAGTGTCTTCCTCAGCATGCTCCTGTGCTTGCCAAGGAGCTGGGAGGGGCCACTCACACCTGCTTCTGGACTCATCAGAGTGAGCATGGAAGGGTGGGCAGATGGTAGGGCCATCAACAAAGGAGACGGGAGGCACAAAACCTCATTGATCCTCTAGGCAGGCCTGGAAGCTTCATGAGTGACATGACTGAAAGTCACTACAGTTTCCTTGGAGACAGCAAGTACCCATCTCCCTTGTAAATGTGGAAAAGCTAGGGCTCAGAATCATTCAGAAGGGGTGCTGTTTATTTGAGCACCTCATGCATTCCAGGCCATGCACGAGGTGCTGGGGACCCAGCAGTGAGCAAAGGCAGGTGTGACCCTTGTCCCTACCAAGCTTGTCATCTAAACTTTAGTCTCTACTGAAGAGTCTCGTTTGTGGAGTTGTGGCCTCATTGTCACACACTTTGTACTCTTAGAGTACTGGACACATAGTAGGCCCACAGCAAGGGCACAGAGGCCAGAACCTCTGGTGCCTAATGCCATCCCTTTTCTCTAGGCCACCCTATAAGTAGAAACAAATCCATATAGAGCACTCAAGTGGCCTACAGATCAGCGGCCAGGCCAAGAACAGAAGCCAGCTTACCCCCAGAAGGAGACAGTGAAGGGCGAGGAGCTGCCCCAGGATTGCTTGAGTTGAACACTGCTGTCATGTTTCTGGGCCAGGATCCCCCTCTGTGGGCCATGGCCCCTCACCCCGCCCTGTCCTCTCCACTGTAATCCTGACCAACCTCCACAGCCCTGCTTCCCAACACAGCTTCATTCCCTCACTCTCCCCACAGCACCTGCTTATTCCCTTCAGTGATTTGGGTCTACCAGAATGTAGGACCCTTAGAAACAGGGCCTGGTTCATTACAGTGTCCCTAGCATGCTGCCCCGCACACAGTGGGTGCTTAATAAGCCTCAAAGGGAAGGATGGATGGATGGATAGAGGAGCAGGCATGGATGGAGCCTTAGAACGCTGTGCCCACGGGATATTTGTTCTTAGACTTCAGCATGAATAAGAAGCCCCTGGGGCATGGGAAGCATGTACATTCTGGAGCCCCCAGGGTTTAGGTGCCTAGGGTGGGGGCCTGGGGTTCTGCACTTTTAACAAACACCACACCTCCCCGCAAAGTGACAAAGTGATTCTGCTGCAGGCAGTCCAGGGACCACATGTTAAGAATCCCTGCTAAGCAGTCAGGATCTGCTGAGAGGATCTTGGGGCAGGAAGATTGTGATGTGATAGAACCTGGACACGCAAAACAGGTGGGGCACGGGAGGCTGGGCAAGTAAGAACCATCTGGCTTTCCAGGGCCTCTGATCTCAGGCACGTGGTCTCTGGTGGTGGGTAAGGAGGTTGCATTCCTAAGCCCATCTTTTGTCCTTCCTCCCAGTCCCAAAGATGCCTTTCGAGCAGTGAAGAAGAGGATTGTGGGGAATAAGAACTTCCATGAGGTGATGTTGGCTCTCACGGTGAGTGCCTTGTCTGTCCATGTGTCTGTCTGTCCTGTGGCAGGACTGCCATCCACTGAAAGCCGCCCCCCTTCAGGCCTTGTAGGACTCCCAACCACCTTGAGCTGGGAAGGAAGTGTCTATGGGCAAAATGGCGTCCTGTCTCCACTGCTGGTAGACACAGAATGGCAAGAGAGGCCATCTGGAAAGGTCCTCCTGTGGCCCTGGCATGGGGAGTGGGCACACTGAGGCCACGTCCCTCCAGAGCCACTGGCACAAAGAGCGTGGGCCAAAGGACCTGCCAGGTGACACAGAAACTCAGTAAACCCAGGCTTCCAGGGTGACAGAAAGCCTGGCAGACCAAGTTGGGTGCTGCCTGACACTTTCTAGCCCTGAAAAGTGGATGTAAAACAAATGCCAGTGGCTGAGAACAGTCTTGCCCACAACACTGAGCCAGTCCAGACTCCAGGACGGGCAGGCATAGTGGTCATCCCAGCTGTGCATGGGTTTGCCGGGGAGTGGGGAGGAGAGTGCTCTGTCCCAGCTTCCTGCAGAGCAGCGTTTGTATGTAGGTGAATTGACTAAATAAACCAGAAAGCAAAGGCCACTCCTGCTAGGAAGAGGGAAGCAGAGAGTGGGGAGAGAAGTTCAGCAGCTCTTCCTTGGGCTACAGTGTCACCAGTTGACTGAAAGCTCAGATTCTCTTTGATTTCCTCTCAGAGAGCCACCTCCCTTCTAGATCATGTTCAGCTTGGAAATCACGTCAGGATTCCAGCCGGCACACCAGGCCTCTGCCCATACCAAGCCGTACCCTCCAGTAAACAAAGCCCCAGCTGTCCACGTTGCAGGGTCTCAGGAAGTCCTGTTTCCTCAGCACAGCCTCCCCTCTGTGATGCAGGAGGAGCCGTGCGGGTGGAGGTCCTGAGCACGTCTCTCCTCTGACTGAGGTACTCACAGCTACCTCTCATCCCTTCAGGTCTTGGAAACCTGTGTCAAGAACTGTGGGCACCGCTTCCATGTGCTGGTGGCCAGCCAGGACTTTGTGGAGGGCGTGCTGGTGAGGACCATCCTGCCCAAGAACAACCCACCTACCATTGTACACGACAAGGTGCTCAACCTCATCCAGGTGTGCACCGCTGGGGCTGGGGAAGAGCCGTCTGTGCAGGGGCTTCCTTCCCAGGGGAGGGCTCTAGGCTAGCCAGGGAGAAAGGTGCCCTGTGCCTCTGTGCCCACACAGGCTCTGGTTCTCTCTGTGGGCATCTTGGTTGTCTGCTGACTAGATGTTCTGTGTGGAGGAGGCTTGTCTGTCGACTGTGTGCTTTGCTGTGGAGTGGGCTGGGCAAGTGTAGTAAAGGGACCAGCGAGTCAGGGAAAGACTTTCCTGTTCCCCATCTGGGTGCCAGGGTAGGTGGGCTCGCAGGGGAGAAGGTGAGCAGTGGTTACCCGCCATGTCCCATTGTCCCTCTCAGTCCTGGGCTGACGCGTTCCGCAGCTCGCCCGATTTGACGGGTGTCGTTGCTGTCTACGAGGACCTGCGGAGGAAAGGCCTGGAGTTCCCCATGACCGACCTGGACATGCTGTCGCCCATCCACACACCCCAGAGGGTGAGGAGAACCACCAGGTTGGGCAACTGTGGGTGGAGGCAGGAGTTATCTCCAGAGGGAGCCTGCACCCCCTTCCTGCTGGCCCCAACTCCCTGGGGCCCTTGCCTTTCCCAGGAGGCCTTGCTGACCCTGTTTTTTGCCCTCTAGACTGTGTTCAACTCGGAGACTCCATCAGGACAGAATTCTGTGGACACAGATGCTGGTCAGCGAGGGGACTCCAGCCAGCACACCACCCCTCTGCCCACCCTGACTATGCTCCCCAGTGACACTCCCATAGTGCCAACCCCTGAGCAGGTAAACAAACAAGTGGGGGTCAGAACCACTCGTCATGGAGGGGCCCCTATCAGTACAGAAATTACTATCCCTGGAGCCTCCACTTACCCTCACAGCAGCCCACAGGGTATGCATTTTTCTTCCTGTCTTAGAGATAAGGCTCAGAGAGGTAAATTTACTTGCCCAGAGTCACACAGCTCATCAGAGACAGCTAGGATTTAAGCTCAGGTCTGTCTGACTCCAGGCAGGTGCTGCCCTATACATCGGCTGTTTTCCAAACTGTGTTCTCCATGGAGCCCTCTGGGCAGCCCTGTGGAGATGAAATGCCCAGTGGGCAGCTCCCTTCAGCAGGGCGGCTCCACCTGATTTGTGTAGTTTGCTTATGTGCTCACAGAAGTCCATTCGAAATGAGGTTCTGGCTGCAAACAGTTTTAAAACATCTGTGCAAAAAAATAAAAAACATGCAGTCATGCGTCACTTAACAACGGGTGCATTCTGAGAAATCAGTCCTCGGGTGATCTCATCATTGTGTGAGCATCATAGAGTGCACTTACACAAACCTAGATGGTACAGCCCATGGCTCCTAGGCTGCAGACCTGTACAGCGTGTTACTGTGCTGAATGTGGTAGGCAGTTGTGACAACGGTGAGTTCTGTGTATCTAAGCATATCTAACATAGAAAAAGTGGAGTAAAAGTACAGAATTATAATCTTATGGGACCACCATCAAGTGTTTGGTCTCTTGTGGACCGAGATGTGGTATGGGACTGTATTTGCACTGCACTGTGCTGCTTCCCGCAAAGCCCGAAGAAGGAGGTTTGAGGCTTAGTATGAGATTCTGGGATCAGGTTTTCCCAGAGCCCTATGACTAGCTTTGAAGGCTTAGCACCTCAATCTAGGGAGCACATGGATTTAGGCAGTCTGTGTGCCTCAGTTTCTTCCTCCTGGAGCTGGAGGTGAGGCGACTTGCTATTGGCCCTGCGCTGTTTGTGGAGTGCCAAAGCTACTCCTCATGCTGAGGGACTAATGCAGCCATGACCAGTGTTAGCTGGGTGCTTGGTCACTGTAGACTTGGATGTGGGTGGAAGCCTGCACACCGTGGGGGCGCCCGCTTCTGAGATGTTTTACAAACTTCAGACCCATCACATCAGCTTAATGGAAAGGCTTTGCTGCTGAGTGTGCTGGTGGGAAAGACACAGAGGCGTGATGGGAAGAAAAGCGAGGCTAAACTTTCCAGAGCACCCTGCTGACTGCTCATACGTGTTGTTTGGACTTATACTCTAGCCTGTTTGAAAAGAAACTTCTGTAATTTGTTATCTCATAGAAAGTTATGAAATCACCCCCAGAGTTACAAATGTTACTAGAAAAGTTTTGCTAACTAGACAAAATAATTAAGGATACATAAAAAATTGTAAAACTACTCTGTGATCCAAAAATTATCTAATCTGGTTATGATTTTAACCAATTTCCCTAAAGTCTAGTATCTGTATGGATTAAGACTGATTACTTCTAGTGCTAGAAGATTCTTTGTAAGCAAAACTGAGTAGTCTTTGTTTAATTAAGTCCCCTTGTCTCCTGGGACATGTTAAGATGTTCAGACACACCGTGATGTAACTCCCAGACTCCTTTGTAATTAAATCCCATCTGACTTGGATAAGTTGAATTTGTGATCAATGGTTTTTCCACTCACTTATACCAACAGTGTTCATTAAATAGGCTGAATATACCAAATGTTTGCAGGTTTTAGAAGGTGTCAGTGAACCATAGTGGATATGCTACTTCTCTCTGTGCTCCCATTTCTTCATCTGTAAAAGCTGGAATAATGATATCTATCTCGTAACACTGTGGTAAAGGTTAAATTAGCAATATATGTTATGTGTTTGGCACTTAGTAGGTGGTCAATAAATAGTAGCTGCTATAACAATCATCATAAATTTATATAGTGACATGATATTATGAAACCAACTACAACTCGGTCACACAATTTAGAATGTACCAGCATTTCTAAAAATGTAGTCCACTGATGCCTGACCTGTGAGTTATTGTATGATAAAAGGGTTCTTCAGCTAAATATATTTTGGAAACTCCTCTTGATCTTTTTCTTGGACATTTACAGTGTACCCAGAGTTCAGGAGAATATTAAGCACCCCACAAAGTCCCAAAGCATAAGGCATCTATACCAATGGCCTTTCATAACCTTGTTTGAGGAGACTGTGCAGCTTTATTGACCATGCTTCCCCGAGTCCAAGGATTTGGAACCCTTTCATCATTGAAAACCTGCTAGGAGGAAGAAAGAGGGCAAAATCCCAGCCATCCCAGATGGAGAGGAGGCAAAATCCTAGTCATCCCAGGAGGAAGAGAGAGGGCCTACAGCCTCCCTCCTCCCCTCGGGGGAGCCTCCCTCAAGGGCCTTGTTAGCTGCCACTTTGGACCCAGGAGATGTTGGAGTCCTCCAGCCGCTCTCGGTGATTCCTTCTCCCTCAGCTTGTTTCCTTTAGACTCTCCCTGCACCAGGTGCTGAGTTTGGAGATGGTAACAGTTGGTGATGCATCTGGGAGGGCTCTGTGGAGAGGGTGGGACATGCCCACTGCAGGCCTCTCGGTGAAGGCTGTGGCTCAGGAGCCAAGAGTGAGGCTGCCTATGGAGGGTGCTGGCATTGGCTGCTCAGTGCACACCTAGGGCTAGTAGTGCCAGGCTCTGTCCCTGTGAGCAGTGACACATCCAGAACCCTGGCTTCTCTCATCACAGCCGATGGTATGTTTCAGATGGGGAAGCTGCAGAGCGAACTGGAGATGGTGAATGGGAACGTGAGGGTGATGTCGGAGATGCTGGCAGAGCTGGTGCCCACCCAGGCAGAGCCTGCAGACCTGGAGCTTTTGCAGGTGAGCACACAGCCCCCCACCAGAGCCCACACATTCCTTCCCAGCCCACACCACAGTCTTCACAGCTTACTCTGAACTCCTTGGTCAAAGTGGGAGATGTTACAACTAGGACTTCAGATTCCTTGAAATTGGAATTCAGATCTCAGCTCTACCACTTTCTGGTTTGAACAAAGTAGCCTCTCTTGCCTCAGTTTCCTCATCTGTGAGATTGCTATAACAATAGCCTTTATGTTACAAGTTTGATGGGAGAATTAAATAATGTATTGCATGTTAAACACTGAGCCCTGTGCCTGGTACAAAGCTCCCCATGAATGGTTCTGAGAAAAAGCTGAAAGGTGAGATGTCCACTTTTCAGAACACAAGGCTTAGCAGGCAGGCATGAGAGAGCAGTGCTGGCTCTGAGACCAGCCCGTAACTTGTCGTGGGGAGCCCAGGCAGGTGGCAGCTGGTGGTTCACACTTCTGTTTGTCACGTGATATTCTCACAGCCCCATCCCCAGCTGGGAGGCCACTGGAGCAGAAGGGGATATGTTTGAGGAACGACACCCTCCCATAGAGGTTGGTTCATAGAGGCACCCAGAAAGCTGGGAACCCCAAGGCCTATTGTCACGTGATATTCTCACAGCCCCATCCCCAGCTGGGAGGCCACTGGAGCAGAAGGGGATATGTTTGAGGAAGGACACCCTCCCATAGAGGTTGGTTCATAGAGGCACCCAGAAAGCTGGGAACCCCAAGGCCTAGGAGTCTCCCTGATCCACAAGGGAACAAGGTACTTACTGTGATGGTCTGATTTCATGGTGGCCTGCCACCAGCCTTCAAGTTCCTGAGGGAAGGGCTGAGTCTCACTCATGCCCATGTCCCTGTGCCTAACCAAGCTGACTTGCTCAGGGGTCACATTATGGTGCGGGGGTGGGGAGGAAAGTATGAGCACGGCGTTGGATGAACACATGAATGTGAAGACAGAACGAGGGCTTAGCAAGAGAGAAGATCGAGTGAGCATTACTGTAGTGCAGTTAGTTTTGTATGTCCCCAGCCAAGGCCATGTAGGTGCGAGTGATGTTGGGGACTGAGAAGGCTGGAGCCGGTGAGCGAGATTGACACAGTAACAACTCCCACACATTGGGCACTTCACATGTGTCAGGCTCCATGTGGACACTTGATCTACATTTATTCACCTGATCCTCACCAGCCCCCATTTTCCAGGTTAGGAAACTGAGGCAAAGGGAGGTCATGTAAATTGCCTAGGGTCAAGTGGCTGCTAAGTAGCAGGGCTGCCTCCAAGTGCTGCTCTTTCTTAAGAGCAGCTGGCAAGGAAGCAGAAATGAAGACACAAGTGTTCTTGGTCCTGGGTGGAAGACAGGGAGGCCCACAGGAGGAGAAAGTCACCCTGACCTGCCTTTCCCCAGGCTAAAGGCAGGTGAAGAAACCCCAGATAGCCTGGCACAAGAGGGGGTGGGTAACAAGGTCCACAGGAGAGCCAAAATAAACTTTGGGGCAGCTCCTGGTCTTAATGACACCTCCAGGAGTAAACTGCGCTGGCTTGTGGCCACAGTCACAGCACCAGATGGCCATCTGCACCACTGTGACCAGCACCTGCTCACCTGGTGGCAAGGATGTGAAGAGAGAAACAGCCAGTCTTACAAATCAAAACCCATAAGGCTGTGGTTTTTAATTTTTTATCTTTTTCCCAAACAAGTTTAAGTATAGCACTTAACTGATTAAAAGTCGGTCAGTGACATGGTGACTAAATGCGATGAGGAATCCTGGAACAGAGGAATAACATTAATGGAAAAACTGGTGAAACCTGAATAAAATCTGTAGCTTTGTTAATAGTATTATGCCAATGTTAAAACATTATGCCAATGTTTTGACAGATGTCAAACTAAGGAGAAGCTGGGTCAAGGGTATATTGGAACTCTCCATACTATCTTTGCAACTTTTCTGTAAATCTAAAGTTATTCCAAAATAAAAAGAAACATTTTAAAATTATTTAGAAAGAAAAAAATGAGTCAATAAGAATAATGAGGCAAAAAGTTGAAATCATGGTTTGTAGATAGTAATTGGAGTCTAGTGTATTTTTTTAATGGTTTGGTTGCAAAAAATCCCACGACACCCAGAGAAAAAGTTGCAGTTTGTTCAGCCAGTCCCCCTTATAGTCCCAGTTCTTTCAGCTAACCGAGATGGTGACAGAGACTTTATTCTGAAGTCTGCAGCACAGGTAAGCGTGGTGGTGGTTTCCTGTGTATTAAGTTACACTTGAAAGTGAAGTTCATGTTCATGTTTGTAGAACCCAAAAAGCCGTTCTGTGGAACCTTAAAGTCCAGTTTGGAGCCCTCTCCTTCTTCCGAGGCATGCCAGGGGCTGGCAACCGTCCATTTTAGAAGGCCTTGCTCTGGGTTGAGTGGCTGTGTGTGTCTCACTTCCTTTCCTGGCAGGAGCTCAACCGGACGTGCCGAGCCATGCAGCAACGGGTCCTAGAGCTCATCCCTCGAATCGCCAATGAGCAGCTGACAGAGGAGCTGCTCATCGTCAATGACAATCTCAACAACGTGTTCCTACGTCACGAACGGTAGCCCTGACACCTCCCCCGGCCTCTGGCCACCTGCCCCAGCCTTCTCTCTTCCCTTCCTCCCTCTTCTCCTGGTCTCCTCTCACCACTTGAGCCTTCTCTCATCTTCCTCTCAAACACAAGGCAGCTACCAAGGGCATGTTGTCTTGGCCGTCTTCTTGTAGCCCCGTCCTTCCGCCAACCCTGCATGTCCTTTCCAGAGTTAGCCCTGCCACTGGTGCCCCTGAGTCTATCCCTGGTCGTGGCTGAGAGCTCGGACCCTGCAGCCAGCCAGGCCTGGTCTGTCCTTGCTGGCTCCTCCACTTCCTGGCACTGGGGCCTGGGACAAGCTACTTGACTCAGTGAGGGCTATTTGACTGCAAGTTACACAACACATTTCTGGCTAACTAAAGCAGAAAAAGAATTTATTAGGATAAATATTATTAAATGGGTAGCTTTCAGAATCCAAAGAATGAAACAGTGAAGCCTCCTAACAAGCAAAAAAGACAGATCCCAGGGCAGCTCAGAGGTCTCAAGGGCAGAAACTCCTGGACCAGGGCTGGCCCGGTGGCGCACTGGAGAGTGCGCTGGTTGGGAGCACGGCGGCGCTCCCACCGAGGGTTCGGATCCCATGTGGAGACCGGTTCCCACTCACTGGCTGAGCACGGTGCGGGCGCAACACCAAGGGTTGCGATCCCGTTGCTGGTCCCTGGTACGGGTGCGACACCGAGGGTTGCGATCCCGTTGCTGGTCCCTGGTACGGGTGCGACACCGAGGGTTGCGATCCCGTTGCCGGTCCCCAGTAAGGGCGCGACACCAAGGGTTGCAATCCCGTTACCGGTCAGTAAAAAAGACAAAAAGGAAAAAAAAAAAAAAAAAAAGAAACTCCTGGACCATATCCCAGGGTGCCACCATCAGTAAAAGGATCAGCTCCAATTACTCATCCACATTGTGTCATTCTTTTCAAAAGTCAGATCCCCAAGAAAGACTCTGATTGGCTTCATTTAATTGTGCCACCAGTAGGAGGAGGGGAGAGGGCCCCTTGATTGCAGTCCCACCAGGATCACAGGAAATGGGAGGAGAGCAGTTCCCCAAAAGAGTACTAGGGTGCTATTGCAAAAGAAGGAGAAACACCATGCCCACCACACTTGCTCTGTATCTGTAAGACGAGGCTTGTAGTTTAACTGAGAGTCCGTGAAATAATGCCTGTGAAGTGCTTGGTGATCGGGTCTGGTAAATGACACTGGCTACTCCAGCCTCCTCCAGCCCTGCTTACTTTTTATATCTTTGTCCATCAGCAGATACTCACAGAGTGATCCAAAGTCAGTTGAGAGTGTGATAGGGCCCCTGCAGGTTACATCTGCCCAGCTCTCCTGCTCGTTGGCCTAGTGGAACAAAAGGGTCCCCACCTCCCATCTCAGGATGTGGGCTGTAAGGTGGCCGAAGGCTCCAATCTGAGAGTGACTGGTACCCCTAACACCCACAGTCACCAAACCTAGTATTTGATGGTACTTTCTAGCTCACAGTTATTTATACTCAGTGTCTTCACATGATCCTCACCAATTCTGGGAGGCAGGTGCCCACAGATACTAGATGAGGTAACTAAAGTTCAGAAATGATGTACTTTATGCAAGGTCACACAGTAAGTGACCGGCAGTGACTCCAGCAAATCCCAGGCTAGGGTCTTCTTTATTCCCCCTTCCAGCCCCTTGGCCCTTAAGTGGCGCCACAGAGCAGGGTCAGAGACGTGTCTTTCTTACACCACTTTGGAGTGCCACTATCAAAAGTGTGTGCACACATGCACACGCACACACACACACACAAGTATATAGCTGAAACAAGCTTCATGAAACAGCACTGACCTTTACTGTGTGCCATGCATTCCTACTTTGTTTTCTGTACTAGTCTATTCCTCTGCGTGTGTGTGTGTGTGTGTGTGTGTGTGTGTGTGTGTGTGTGTGTGTGTATGTTTCATGCTGGTTGTGACAAGGGTGGACATAAAATTGATAATCCAAATTGGGACACTTTGGCAAATGATAAAGGGGCACTGTTAATAATTTCTTGGGGACATCAGGCATGCACTCTATCTGTCCAGGGCAAATCAGGATGTATTGTCACCCCGATCATGACCCACTATGTTGATTTAAAAAGCTCTGCCTGTGTTGAGGAGCCTGGTCTCAGTTGCCTCCTTGACGCAGATTTTTTCTGTCTTGTAGGTTCGAACGGTTTCGAACAGGCCAGACCACCAAGGTAAAGGCTTCTTTTCTGTGACTAGATCATGCCCAGTTGATGGGAAGAAGAAGGGCTATCTCACCTCCCTCCCCCGATATCCTGGACAGGGTGGTGCTTGCTTATTCATACTCATATAGAGAAGTCCCCTTCTAATTTTTTATGCCACTGCCCCTTTAAGGTAAATAAGGCTGCACCGCCAGCTGATGCCCAGCCCAGGGGTCTTCCCAACCTTCTAGGGGGTCCAGTTGAGCTGGAGCCAAAGGAGAGGAAGAAAAGCTCCCTGACCCCCAATCATAGCTGCTGGGGCCCTGGATCCTTGGGCAAAGAATGCAGGTTCCAGTGCTGCGGACAGAAGGGAATGAAGTTGCAGGCAGCAAGGGTGATGGGGCATTTCGCTTCCCCCCACCCAGGCCCCAAGTGAGGCCGAGCAGGCAGCAGACCTGATTGACATGGGCCCTGATGCGGCAGCCACCAGCAACCTCTCGTCCCAGCTGGCAGGAATGAGTAAGTGCGGTTTGGGGGGCTCCAGCTGAGGGCACATTATGGTGCTGTGGGCACCCCTGCAGTGCTGGGGGTGCCTCCTATTACACCTCACAGGGGTCCCAAGCCAAATCTAGCTGCAAGGTTCGGTACTCAAGACAAAAACAACTGGGCTACCAAGAGAAGTCCCCTTCTAATTTTTTATGCCACTGCCCCTTTAAGGTAAATAAGAGCAATTTAATGAGCCCCAATGGGTCTCAAAAATCCCACCATTCTGTGACTGTCCCTCTACACTGAATTCTCCATGGTGTGAATCATCTGGGTGAGCTTGGGCATGTTACTTAAACTTCCCGTGCCTCTCTGTCCTCCTCTGTGTAGGAGTAGGAATGGGCCTTCTTCGCAGTTGTTATGAGGTGCCTAGACCAGTGCCAGGCCCAGAGGGTACTCTTGATAAATGTTAGTAATTGGCATCATTGTCATTGGTTTTAATATTATTGACTGCCTGCTTCATGCCAAGCCCTAGAAATCATCAGGATCCTATTTGGAATCACTAATACTACACTTTTTGAAAAATCAACCACACATCTGATCGCTATCCTGCTGCTCAGCCACTTCCTCTAGCAGATCCAGTAGGCAGCATTTCACCCATTTTCTAGTCCTCACACCAGCCCCAGGAAGGGTGCCCATCTCCACCTTAGAGATGAGTAAACTAAAGCTAGCAAGAGGAAGGGGCCTGCCACCCAAACCATGCTGCTTCTCCAGCAAGCCCTGGGCCTGCTACAGGCTACTGAGCAGTAGCTCAGTGCACAAGGACAGTGGCAATCCTTCACATGGCCTTTGTGTCCCTGCAGACCTGGGCTCCAGCAGCGTGAGGGCCGGCCTGCAGTCTCTGGAGGCCTCTGGCCAACTGGAAGACGAGTTTGACATGTTTGCACTGACCCGGGGCAACTCTCTGGCTGACCAACGGAAAGAGTGAGTGGCCTTACCCCACCCTGGTCCCCTGCAGTTTGGGTGGCTCTCTTTCGGATGAGAGCTGCCCTCAGGGTCCTTGCAACTGGCTTGGCGGTGAGCCCACCATGAGAAAAAACACACAGCCCCCTGCCTGCACCCCCTCAGGATCCCTTGAGCTGGCCCAGGGTGGCCCAGAGAGCATGACCCACAGGTGGGGGTCGGGTGGGGAAGGGATGCCTATGGGTTAATGACCAACTGTGCCAGAATCTTACATAATCTGATCAGAGGGGGAAACTGAGTCACTGAGAGACTGGGTCATTGCCCCAGGTCAGGCAGTTAGTATTTGGCAGGCCTAAGTTGGGAACCCAGGGCTGTCTGCTTCCAATACAGTATCTCTAGCCCCGCCCACATCCCCACTGCACTGCATACCACATACCAAGCCCTCCAGGGACAGGGAAGGGTCCTGATAACCCCCCAGGGACTTTCAAGTCAAGTTTTTTTGTTGTTGTTGTTTTTTTAAAGATGACTGGTAAAGGTATCTTAACCCTTAACTTGGTGTTGTCAGCACCACGCTCTCCCAAGTGAGCTAACTGGCCATCCTATATAGGGATCCGAGCCTGTGGCCTTGGTGTTATCAGCACCGCACTCTCCCGAGTGAGCCACTAGCCAGCCTTCAAGTCAAGTCATTTTTGTTGTTCCATAGCCACCCTTGATTTCCAGAGAAGTCACTGTTGCCCCACTTGCATCTGCCACTTTGCACCAGAGCTGGGGCTCTGTCCTCTGTGGACTGTCCACTTTCACGGAAGTGCCTTCAGCAGCCAAGGCACATGACTGTGTCACGGCCCAGCCCCTTGCCTCAACTTCTCAGGGACTGGCTCTATACTGCTTGTCAGGGAAATCATTTGCTTGGTGTTTTTCCCAGCCCTTTACTTATGACACCTAGGGCTGAGCTTCAGCAGCCAAGATTTTTACAGCCAAGGAAAGTCCTGGATTAAGGTATCCTCCCAGCTGATCCCACTTAGCTCCTTAGTGGTCATTCTGGTGTCTTTGAGAACTCTGTCAGTGGACCTCCAGAGAGCCCAGGCATACCCTCTCGACAACTGCAAATCCAGGTCAGATCTAACAGGCTGCAGCCAATATGGGTTCATGGGGTTGCACCCGTTCCTGCCCACTGACCACAGCTGGCCCTGGGCTGTGAGCCATATCTGTCTTTTGTCTGGGTGGAAGCTGTGCTCCCAAGCCCAGGTACTCTGGGCCCAACAGCTCACAGTTGCCATGGAGTTAGGGACACTGCTGAAGCTGATGTGCAGATAGAAGCTAATGAGTCTGGTGGGACTTGCAGCCAAGAGGGTGGCCATCTGCATAGGCCCCAGCAGGCAGCACTCCTGGCTGCACTGGGGAGCCCCTGGCACCTGGCTGGGCTCACCAGCCTGGCAGAGGCTTGCTGCTGGGGACTTGCTGTTGCACCATCGCTCCTCTGGGCAGCAGGCATTGGGGGCAGCTGTCCAGGGCCTGCAGTCTCATAGAGAGAGTGACACGCACTCAACCATCGCCGTGCAGTGCTAAGTGCTTTCCTGGAGGAGGGCACAGAGGAGGGAGCACACAACCCTGCAGAGGACACTCAGGGCTGGACCGGGCGATGGATGGTTAAGAAGACCATTGCAGGCACAGCATGTATAAAGGCTCAGAGGCTGGTGGGAGAGAGGTGCTCTGGCTCCTCGCAGGGTGAGTGTAGGGAAAGGAGCAGGATGCTGAGAGGGTGGCCGAGTGGGTCACGCAAAAGCAGTTGATTTTATGCTAACTATAGCAGTAGGGAGCATGGGAAGGATTTTTCTTTTATCAGATTTGCGTCTTTGAAACTCTCTTTGACTGGGCACAGCTGAAATGACATCATGTACCTTCTCAGGGCCATTGGTTCTGCTGCAGGCCCTCCCTAGGAGTTGGTTGCCTTCCTAGCAGGAAACATCCAGCAGGGACAGGAGTGTGCCTTCGCATCAAGTTCCCCTTCCCTTTGTTCTGACGGGCCGGCCTGCCAGCCCAGCTTCTGGTGGGTCTTCTAGCTCTGGTCACCAGACTGGACTTGTCTGCCTGCCTGGTGTCTACCCACACTTCCCTCCTCTGGCCTGCAGCTTGCTCTGTCTGGGCTCTCAGGGAAGCCAATTCCTCATCAGCCCTGTCCCTGCTGCAGCTCCAACCACAGCCAGCACCCCCACAGCCTCTGCTACTCACCAGGCCCTGACACTCAGGTGCCAGAAGAGCAGCAGGGCACCTGGGTGAGTCACATCAGGGACTCTTCAGCTGGGCCCTCCCGGAGGTGGGGATGCCCCTCCCCCACATTATGGTCCTGGGAAGCATACTCTGCTTCCTCCTCAGTGCCACGGTACACAGCAACCTCTTCCCTAAGAGACACTAAGACAAGTATCACCCCAGGTGACCCCAGGCCCAGACCCTGCTCACCAGCCTCACTGGGCCATCTGAGGAGTGGCCCTCCGCCCCCTGCTCTGAGGGAGGATGGCCCAGGGGAGACAGCAGATCTCAGGCCCAAGGTGTGCAGCCAATGCAGGTTGTACGATTCCTCCAGGCACATGTGCTGGGCCCTCCACTGCTGTAGGCAGGACCCTCGGGGACGGCTGAGCTTCGGGCTTTAGGGCTGTGTAGGGCAGGAGAGAGAAGAGCAGAGGCAGCAGGAGTAATTAGGAAAGAACATAGGTTCTTCTGAGTGGAGAGAAAGCATCAGTTTCTTCATGTTCCCAGGGCTGGGCACACCTTACTCCACCTTCTCCACGAAGCACCAAGCATGTCGGGTGACACAGAGACAGCAACATGTCCACTTCTATACCCGGCATGAACAGGCCTTCTGGGTCAGAATGCTTTGCTAAATCTTTGGCATCACTTCCTCCTCGCCAGCTCTCACTGCCCAAGTTTAGCCAGGGATGCTAAGCTGCTCTGCAGAAGGGTGTGAGCACCCACCTTGGCTTTAAGGTTGGCTCCAGCATGGCCCTGGAAACAGTCCCCATCCCACTTGCCATGGATGGGGAGCAATGTAGCCGGGAGAATGTAACTAGCCAGTGGACTTCCAGCTGACTCTGCCTCCTGTGGGAAGGAGCAGACAGCAGTGTTCTTGACGAGGCCTCCTGGGAATGTGGGGCTCTTATTCAAGAAGCCTCTTTCAGTGCCAACCTACTCCATTCCTGGGAAGACACACTGGCATTGCAAGAGTTAACATGGTACGGCCCCTGTTCCTAAAGCCCAGAGCTAAACCAGCCCCAGCTTCAGTAGAGTGTCAGATGTCCCCTACCTGGAGGAGACCCTTACCCTTAACTGCAAGACTGTCCCTTTGTGCTGGGAATTCTATGTCTAACTTCTTGCCTCAAAGCGGGTCTGACCCAGTACTGAAGTCTGACTCCTCTCTGCTGGCAGTGCAGAGTGAGAATAACTGGGCTCTCTCCCAGCATCAGTTCTGGGTCCCTAGTACCTCCCCTGGGCACCCCTGCTGCAGCAGCTGGGAGTGACACCCAGCCCCTTGTTAGCCCAGCTTCTCCTCCCACTCTTGAGTCATTCTCTTGCTCCTACTGAAACTTCCCTTCAGACACAAGCACATACCTCCCTCCTTGCCTTTCCTCATCTGCCTGCAGCTGCAGTGTTGGCCCTGCCCCTGCCTGGCTGGCCAGCATCCCCCAGGGGACATTTAGAAGAGACATCATCCTCTGCATGCTGTTGAGACCAGGAGGGGCAGGTGGCCATCCATGCTGGGGAGGCCATGCAACATGGCCCGTCACCCAGGAGTTTGCACATTTGTTTTCAGCAGCAGAATGGGATCCCCCATTCTAATGTAAACTTGTACAGAACCACAGTTTATAAAACCATGACAAAGGAACTGCTCAAGAAAGGGTCTGCAGATAATCCTCCATGAACATGCTGCTTTTGGAACTGTTTCGCAGTCCCCTAGTTTGGCCAAATCTGGTCACAGTCATTGGAGATCTTGTTCTTGGTCTTTGGCCAGTAACACCCTCCTGACTTCTCCAGCCTTTGCTGATGCCTGTCATGTGGGTCACACGTCTGAGCCTAATTCCCAGAGGCCGAAATGAGACCCTTTTACCATCCCCAGGAAGGCCTGGAGAGTAGGAGTCCTCAACCCTTGCCCGTCCTGTGGCCTGAGGTGCGCCCTGTCCAGGCACGACCCAAGCCCACATGGATGTGAGTCCAGCACATCCCCGCCTGCACCCCACCCTCCATCAGTTGGCAGGCCTGGTGTGGCAACAACAGCATCTGATGGCCATGGCTGCCTCTGTGTTTCAGGGTAAAGTACGAAGCCCCTCATGCGACCGATGGCCTGGCTGGAGCCCTGGACGCCCGGCAGCAGAGCACTGGAGCGGTAAGCAGAGACGCCCCTTTGCCACCCACGGGAGGTGGAAGCCACCGGAGAATTGTGAGCACAGGAGGGACATTTATCTGGCTTCCGTTTTAAAAGGATCCAGGATAGAAGGTGGGAGACCAATTAGGAGGCTGTGGGGGCCATCCCATCTCCCATGGGGTTAAGTCCCTGGGGACTCCCAAGAACTGTCCATCTCCACTCCTGGGTCTCCCAGCTTCTCAGGAGTCATTGCCAAGTCAGAGCAGGGCAGGACAGAGCACCATGGAGGCAGGACCAGTGAGGGAACCCAGTGCCCACACGTGTGGGCTGCAACCTGCCTCCAAATAGAGCACCTCTCTCCACACATGTCTCAGAGCCGCCGACCATTCTCCTTTGTAAGTGACTGTTTGCTGAGTCTGTGCTCTGTGCCGGGTCCTGTGCCAAGCACTTGACACCCCCCTCGCTCTTACTGAGTCAACACATGAACCCTTCGGTTCTCCTTTGTAAGTGACTGTTTGCTGAGTCTGTGCTCTGTGCCAGGTCCTGTGCCAAGCACTTGACACCCCCCTCGCTCTTACTGAGTCAACACATGAACCCTTCGGGTATGTCACTATCCCCTTTTACAGATAAGAAAACAGTTCCAGAGAAAGGGGCTGGGCGCCTTCACCTGGGTAAAGTGTGGTTCTGATAACACCAAGGTCAAGGGCTCAGATCCCCGTACTGACCAGCCACCAAAAAAAACAGGTTAAGTGAGACAGTAGAGGCAATATCCTCAGCACAGTGCCCGGCACATAGTGAAGTATCACAGCATTTAGTCTTGATAGCCTGCTGTGTGGTTATCCCTATTTACAGATAAGAAAACTGAGGCTTAGAACTGGGAAGTGCGTAGCCCAGGGTCTCAGAACTGTTGGTCTATCTGGCTCTGATAACACATACACTAGATCTGAAAAGCCGTAAGGAGCAAAGGAGAGTGGAGGTGATTGGGCCCTCCTCAGGGTTCTATTCCCAGTGGCCATCCTTCCAGCCACAGGAATCCAGGTGAATCAGACACTGGGAGTGCTGTAGCATCCCCCTCTTGGGGCCTTGTGGGCCTCTCATGGGCAGAGGCTGACTCCACAGCCTAGCTGGCAGCAATCCCAGCCAACCTGCTCTTGCTGCAGCCCGGAGATGAGGGTCACCTCCCAGGGGCACACAGCAACTCAGGACATGACTGGAACCAGAGCCCAGACCTGCTGGCTCCCTCACCACCTTGCAGCCAGCCCACAGGGAGGAACGCACACACAACTCCACTTTCAGAAAAGCGGAAACTGCAAAACATGTTATCACTCATTCATCCCCTATAACTTGAGAGATTTAAGCAATTTCCAGCAGATCAAGGTATGACTCTTTAAACTGTGTGAGCAAATGCCTGCTCCTGAGGTGCTTATGTCTGGCTGGTGGAAGGCCTTCACCCCGGCACCATCAGAACTTGATTCCAGGGCCGAGCCCGTGGCGCACTTGGGAGAGTGTGGCGCTGGGAGCGCAGCGACGCTCCCGCTGCGGGTTCGGATCCTATATAGGACTGGCCGGTGCGTGCGCTCGCTGGCTGAGCGCGGTGTGGGTGACACCACACCAGAGGTTGTGATCCCCTTACCGGTCACGAAAAAGACAAAAAAAAAAAAAAAAAAAAAAAAAAAAGAACTTGATTCCAAACAGCAAAGTTCAAAATGCAATCAAGTGCCAACTCCATGGGCAGCCCGTGTTTGCCCCCAAGATACAGAGCAGAATGCACAAGTCCCATGACTCGGTGACGCTGCACATCACAGACCCATTTTTAGAGTGTCTGCAGTATGCCAGCCCTGCACTGGCTCTGGCTAGGGTGGGTAAGGCAGTCCCAGGGCAGTGGGCCAGGAGCTGGGACTCTAGTGTCCCAGTACCCCTGATCCACTCTGGGCCCTAGGAGACCTCCTGTTTGCTATCAGTAAACATGAGGGGATTGGATAAACGGATGTTTCCAAAACCTGGTGCCCAGCAGAAGCCCTGGGAGCCTCCGACTGCCAGATGACTACCTGCACCACCATCCCGGGATTGCTTCAGACCACAGTCTGGGACCTTCGTGGAAGGGCTGAGAAGCTTTGTTTCATTTGCTCTCAGCCCTGTCCCAGCCCCTTTAGGGCTCTGGAATCCCAGAGCTGTCATGGTTCACCCACAGTGAGGTGCCCTCTGCTGCTTCCCTAAGCCCCTTGCAGCTGCTGCCCCGCTGTACACACCTGCGTGTATGCACAAGCACACACACACACACACACACACCACACGTACACACACACACAGGCCTCCTGACCCAGGAGGAGGGTCCCAGGTGGAGAAGGCCACCAGCCCGCAGTGGCCCTCCCTGCCCATCCCACACCATCAGCGTGACTCTCTCTCACCCAGATGGGAGGTGGCAGCGAGAAGAGCCTCAGAGACTGGATGGTGAGACAAGGCATGGTGAGGAGGGGCCAGGCCCGCCACCGGACAGCTGGGCTGCTTCGTGCAGGGCTCCTGCCAAGGCGCAGACGTGGGGCCACGGTGGCTCTGACTGAGGGAGAGGGACCTGTCAGAAGACCCAGAGGAGAGAGGAAGGGTGGTCCAGGGCCCTGCTGTCCCAAGGTTGCCCCAGCCAGTGCTCAGCAAGGTCCAACTCCCTCCGCTCTGGCTTCCGTGGCTCCTCTGTGCCCAGTCCCTGCTCCTGACTCTCAGGCAAGGCTGAGGCAGCTCCTCTGGCCACTGAGCAGTGACAGGGCCAGAGCTGAGAGGGTGTGGGTGCAGGCTGCCCGGGGCTCTTGCTGCTGCTGCTGCTGCTGCTGCTGCTGCTGCTGCTGCTGCTGCTGCTGCTGCTGCTGCTGCTGCTGCTGCCGCTGCTGCTGGGGGCGGGTGAGTGACGAATTTCCAGG